GTCTGGGATAGGGTTAACGATTTGGTCGTTTTTGTCTGGCAAATAGGCTACGCTTCTGCCGGCACAAAGACAATAAAAACGTTAGTAAATATTGATTGAGATCTATGAAATAACTGTGTTTTCCGTCTTTTAGTCTGGGATAGGGTGTACAATTCTTAGCCTTAGTCTGGGGTAGGGTATGTAAATTCAAAATTTTAGGTCTGGAATAGGGTCAGGGTTTTGAGGTAATGGCGGCACACCCCTACCCCAGTTGGGGAGTTAGTACCCCCCCCCCCCCAGGGGTTTTAATGCGTTACAACTTTTACCCCTCAGACAGTGCTACAACCACTGACCCCTAGTGTCATTATCAGCAAAATAAACAGGACACTTGACCAACCATAGCAGTCAAGCCAAATGTTATAGCTATGCTATCCATGTATCCCATGGACAATATATCAATAATAGTAATATCAATATATTATCTATGCTACCCATGTATCCCATGGCAGCTTTGCTCTTTGCCCTCCCTGGATTCAAAACAACTACTGACATACAGACCATGACGTGGCATAGAGAACAAATACACTTGCAGCCTTTCCTATCGCTGATCTGGCTTCCTTAGCAATGTTAACACCATCAGGAAGCTATAAAATATAAGACATATATATCAATACTATGATCAGCACGATTTGTCACGTGCTCTAATTATACATGTTGTATAAATGTTAATAGTACTTACTACATCTTTCACTAGTCGAGCGATAACGGCATTTGGTAAGTTTAAGTCTTCTGCTTTTTCTGCCATAATGTCGTGTCTTTGGAGTATGTCTTACAATAGAAAAAAACAAAGAATGTTGATTCCCGGTTGATTGGATTTTCAACTTCATCGTCGCATTTTTCTAAACAACTCTACGAATACTGCCTAACATAAAGGACTAACAGAAAGGAAAACTGCCAAACAATCCTATAAGATTACCTTGGCGAGATATGATCAAATAGAAAGCTTAAAATATCTTGCTGATTTAGAAAGGTTTGGATCTGATTTCGGTTTTGGTCACATTCGGTTTTCCCGCGATCATGAATGTATTAATAAATAAGACGGCGTTTCTAATTGGATAAGCGAGTCTAATTACTGACCTATTGAAAGGCTTGTTCTATTACTCGTTATAAAGAATATTTTGAATCATTTCATGAACTTTAGACCAAACTTTTACTATCGCGAAAGTCTGCCTATTAAATGATATTTAAATCTTTTATTCGGCCAAAATCTTTATTTTATTCTTTTTAAAACTTTTTAACGAAATGCAAAACGTGAGTATTTGGTCAGCGCATTTGACCACAAGCATGCGCAGTGTTGTTGCCGGGAAGGGAAACATCTTGAGGTCTGGAAGATTCTTCCGTTCAAAAGAAAGTACGACTAAAAAGCTCATTTAATACCAATATTTGCACTTTAATAATTTATCTTATCTGCAAATATCGAAAGGCAAGTATTGTAGTACTTAGGAGTAGACTTAAGAGTGCGTTTTTTCGTGTTAATCTTGATATATTTGCCTCTAATTTTGGGGTCTTGTACACAATCTTGTTTTCCTTCTTCACGCGACAGCTGCTTTCACTCACTCTTGTGCATTATCGTATCCTTTCTTTTTCAAACTAATTTTATTACCTCACCAGGTTTTACAGTTTACTGGCTTTTGATTTATTCATTTATTTGTCATACGAGGATGAGCAGTTCAGAGGAAGTGTCTTGGATTTCATGGTTTTGTGGGCTCCGTGGAAACGAGTTCTTCTGTGAGGTAAACAAGCTCAACTACTGCTTGTGTGTACTCTAATCAAAACCAATGACAGATTAAGTATTTTCTCGTTCAGTCTTATGATCATAAGCTTTGTTATAAAGTATATTGGGACTGTATTTCTACTGCTTGAATTAAGAAGAATGGCATAATCTTCCACAGCAAAAGGTCTTCATTTGTTTTTTTCTTTAATGTAATCTAATAATATAGTAGCACACACCCTTCAAACTTTTCCTTTTGATGTACTATTAAATCAACTCGAAAGTCTTGATCTTTATTACTTTTTCTTTTGAAATCCAAGAGTCAGAGACAATGTTTACTATCGTTAAGTACCTTTCTTATTTGAAACATGTTTCTCTTGTCATTTGACTGGAATACCTTTAGTATTTTGAGATGTAATTATTGTGGCATTGTTGTTATTAATTTAAGTCCTTTTCTTTAATTAAGATCATTTAATGAAGGCATAGGAGCTGTCTGCCAATTAAAGTTATGCCTGCAGTATTCAATAATTAATGATTTATAAAAAACATTACTTTAACCATTTGGCATATAGGTGGATGAAGATTATATACAAGACAAGTTTAACCTGACTGGTCTAAATGAACAAGTTCCACATTACCGGCAAGCTCTAGACATGATCCTAGATATGGAACCAGGTATCATTACTTGTAATCCCTTATTCAGTTTTTTATACATCCCATTGTTTTTTTTCCCTGTAATAATTAACCGTGGCGACAAAGTATTGTTTGTGTTGTTCTCATGTAACAGGACTAAAATTAACAGCTGGTCAATTGCCAGTCATGATGTTGTGCCAAATTAGATGTAACTTGGTCATACCTTGTTTCTGGCTCAGCATTACTGGTTAACATCACCGACAAGCCAAATATTTGACTGGGCAAGAACTTTCAAATTATGACCACCCAATATCTTTAGTCCTGTATAAGTAATAATAATGGGAATTACAGTGTATTCCACAGAGTGGTTCTTCTTCCACTGGATTCCAATTGGAATTTAAAAATTGATTTTTGCGGAAGGGGGAGGGGGGACCCAGATTACAGCAAGCCTGGCACCACCTGTTCTTCCCACAGCATATATATACTGAAAACAATAAGATGAATTACCTTTTATTTAAGATGATGAACTAGAAGATAATCCAAATCAGAGCGACTTAATCGAACAAGCTGCAGAGATGCTGTATGGACTGATTCATGCTAGATATATCTTGACTAATAGAGGCCTGGCACAGATGGTAATCATAACATTAACTAATGATAATGGTTTTCATAATTTACCTCCCAGCTTACTTTGTAACAACTGTTTCCTTGTAGCTTGAGAAATACCAAAATGGAGACTTTGGTCATTGTAGTAGAGTATATTGTGAAAACCAACCAGTATTACCAATAGGTGCGTAAGTACTGTTACTTAACCAAAATCTGCATGCATCCTTTTAGGTGTGGTATTATATTGTAGATCACTGATATGAATCATTTGCTTCCTGCACAACTACCAGGCTTATCAGATGTGCCAGGAGAGGCTATGGTAAAACTGTATTGTCCAAAATGTATGGATGCATACACCCCTAAATCTTCAAGACACCATCACACAGATGGTGCATATTTTGGTACTGGTTTCCCTCACATGCTGTTTATGGTACACCCAGAATACAGACCCAAGCGTCCTGCCAATCACTTTGTTCCAAGGTACGAGTTACAAACACTTGTCATACTTAGAATTTCAGAAAGCACAGGGAACAAGAGCCACAAATGCAAATCCCATTTGTTATTCTATTTTACTTAAYTTAATTAAGTAGTCTAGTCATGTTATGATCAGCTTTACATTCTATTTTAATGACAGCATACATTAGGTAAACCAAGTATTTATATGACTGTTATATTCAACTCATCAACTACATCATGAATTATTAAATTTCATTTGGTTTATTGGTTGATCATCCCATCAAGAGGTACATGAAGATATAGAAATATAGATAAGTTATAGTGCTTGGGAACGAGGTTATTCCGGGCGAAAGCCCTTGGAATTAAATTCTGAAAAATTAATTTCCGACCTCGCTGGGAATCGAGCCCAAGACCTTCGGAATTGTACTACCGATGCTCTACCAGCTGAGCTAGAGGTCAGACTGAGAGCAGGCCGGGGTGAAATAGATGTTAGGTAGCGGTAATTATGATGCAAAGATGAGAATATGTGGACAGCATAGCACTTATGAAATACATGAAGATGTATCAAGAGGTAGTTGTTTTATATCACATGACCATTGTGTGAATGTTCAGATTTATTGTATGTTGGTTTTAGATTGTTTGGATTCAAGATTCATCCCATGGCTTTCCAGATCCAGCAACAAGCAGCGGCACAGCGTGGTAGATCCTCCTCAGCCAGGCCACGCTCAACAAAACCACACTATAAATAAATAACTACCAACATTGTTAAATGATAATATGAAACTTTGAAAGATTAGAATTCCTCCTTTCTTATCTGGTTATACACATAGAAATATATCGGAATTATAAATTGTACACAAAGAAAGTCTAAAATGAATTAGTGTAAGAATGTTTTGCTCGTATCCTTGGATCCTGTTTACTCTTGTTTGTATTGCAAACCTTATTTGAGTATTTTATCTTTTGACCACAAATTTGAATTCCAGATTTGAAATGGTTAATATTAAGAACGGATAATAGCCATTAAAATCCCTGGATTAACCATTAAAATACCTTGAATTTCATTTTCACTAAAAATATTTTCTATCATATTTTGTGTTTCATGGGTTTATTGATTTATTATCCAACTATACTCGGCAGAGTATAAATATTGCATGAGAAAGCCTGATGTGAGTACAAAATATCTTGCGATATTTATACTCTACGATATTTTGTACAGAATAATAAAATATAATTATTCCACAAGGAGATAATTCAAGGTATTTTTATTAAAAACTTTATTTGTTTATGTTGAGATGTGTCAATAAGTTTTTAAACTTTGTTAAAGTCACAACACCATTGCCACAATCTTGTATTTCTTTATGAAACATTGTCCAGTAGGAGTATAGTACTCTAGCCTTTATATATTTAATAATAATGCTACTTGATAATGTTTGATCCATAGAAACATCAGAAATTTGCATCTCGTCTATCTCGTTAAATATATGTTTTTCTCTTTCACTTCTTTTATGTACATTGTTTGCTTATTATTGCTGGGCTTGTTTATACTAGTATAACAATGATATTTAACATGGAATAAACTAAAATAACCAAGGCTGCTTGAATCCTTTATCTGTAATTATGTATGTACTAAAAGGACATTCGAAATGTATTTGAATTCTTTTTATGAATGTTAGATAAATATATCCTTTAGTAAATCAGAGAAAATGTAAATACATAGTTAATATATGTGAGTGGAGTGCAACATGACATTTGCATGATGGCGTCATTTGACTCCCACTACCATAATGCTTGGCAAATTTTCATTCTTATTTAAATTCATATTCCCTCATGATGATAGTAAGAGAATTAGTGCTAATCGACTGAACAAAAGAAATCATGCAAGGCAGTCTGGTAGTGGATCAAAGTCAATAACACCATCATGCAAACGTCCTATTTGATTGAGTTTGAATAAATAAGTCTCGAGTTTGATTTCAGACCAAAATTGCACAGCACAAATAATGAAAGTTCAACTACCACTTCATCCATTTTGGAGATGCCATTTTGATATCTCATGCAATAATACTAAATTTAAAATTTAACGTAATATTTAGAAAACTGCTTTTTACCTAGAAAATTAACTTTTTCTGAGATCTGATTGGTCAAGTGCTTTTTGACTGGTTCTTGAAATAGTGCGATTTAAAACTCAAAATGGCGCAATTTGTGATTAAAAATCGCACTGCCGAGTGCCAATCAGATTACACAATTTGCTAGTGATTTCTAATTGGGTAAAATTCCAACTATTAATCATGCATTACGACAATCTAGGGGTGTCCTTATCTTTATTTCTTGTCCAAACAATATACACGAAAGACTTGTTCGTTTAACGAGAAAGTAATTCTTGCGCAGAGTCTTTGGTTGCCATGGTTTGGTGTCGTTAGTAACTACTTGAACTGGAAGTTATGCATTATCTTGGGCTTATTAATCTGATAGCGTTGATTTACACGCATCCACGTCTGATCCTCACCTTTTACACCGTGTTCAACCGCACGCCGAAAGACAACCGAAGAACGCCTTATAGATACATTAGGTTTTCAAATGCCAAGAATATCTGTTTTACAGATCTTTACTTTTTCGTTATTGATCAGTGCCTGTGTATTTGTCGCCAATCATGTAGCAAGATATCTTTTACGAGGTAAGTCTTCTTTCTTTCTTTAGTAGATTACCACTTTCAGGTAAAATGAAACAAGACAATGTTCCTTAGATTCTTTACGAAGGAAAATCTTGGATACCGCGATAACCATATCTCAAGAACTCCGCTTGATGTTAAATAACCATCTAGTCTCAATATGCAAGTGTACGTTTCTAAAACGTATATATTGAGATAGACATAGTAATCAGTCAATATACTTTAATTTTACCCAGAAGGGTAATATCATCGCTGCAGATCTAGACCGATATCTAAATTACTCACATATTATGTACCTGTATGGAAAATACTTTAGTTTCTTCATGTATATATAGTAACATAATGCGGGACAGCAGTCGTGCTATTAGTAAATAGGAGGGTTTACCAATAAGTCCTCAACGTATATGCTACCATTACCCATGCAAGGTGAAGTCGTCCTCACAGCTATCTAACGAACTGATCCACATTTTAATTATCAAGATACATTGTAAAACTGGTTAAATATGATTGGCCTAAAAATAGCTTTGAAAAGATAACAAGCGGCTACATGTTGTTTGGTAATTTTAAAATTGATTAGTGGGATTTTACCTCGTTAACTCTGGTAACCATGGAAACATTCGGTCTCAAAATAGTTTTGTTTTATATTTGGTGTAAAAAATCGAAATATATTGATGTCAGTCTATAATCCTTAATATATTACGGTTGTATGTATTTCTTTACTTTAGTGGATGGTGGATACTCCGAGTGGTCTGGCTTCAATGAGTGTTCACGCACTTGTGGGGGTGGGATACGATTACGGAGACGAGAATGTTCCAATCCCTATCCAAGACTAGGAGGACGTAACTGTTCCTCATTAGGAAAACCCATCCAAGTGTTCAAATGCAACAGAAACCCGTGTCCAGGTACGTACCTCCTTATTCTATGGTTCTACATAGTCCAGACACTGACTCCTTCTCAGTTTGCCGCTCCGCTGAGTAGTGTCCAGCAGTATTTGCCTGCGCATGCTCAAAAATTTCCCCAAGTTTTAGGTAATTTACAAAGCGCACGAGTTGCCGCTAGACCAGGCAGCCCAAAGAGCAGAGCGGTCAGGAGGAGTGGCCAGTATCTGGATTAGGTCATATCAAAAGGAAACTAACAATACCAGTTTTACATGAGTGTGTTCAGCAACATAGTGGTGAATTATAATAGCATATCTTTCTGTTCCACGCTGACAGTAAATGGAGGTTATGGAAGCTGGTTATCTTTTGGACCATGTTCAGTGACATGTGGTGATGGATACAAACAAAGGCGACGACACTGTAATCATCCTTTACCAAAATATGGAGGAAAAACATGCAAAGAAATGGAGCTTGGGGACGATACAGAAGCAGAGAAATGTAACGAGCGGAAATGTCCAGGTAGGATGATGATATCTAGCACGAAATTCTTTTTTTAAGGGTTAAACTGATTCTCTGTAGCTCATTCCTAATCGACGATTGAAACATTATTTCAGTCAATGGTGGATACTCAGAGTGGAGCGCGTTTGGTGAGTGTTCGGTGACATGTGGAGGAGGTATAAAGACACGTACTCGTGAATGTACCAATCCTACACCAGACCTTGATGGAAAGAACTGCACAGATCTTGGGCCAAATGAAGAAACACGTGCTTGTAATACAGAATATTGTCCAACAATATTACCTCCAAGAACTAAACCACCAACTACGACAAAACAAACAACAACACCACAAACAACACCACCACAAACAACACCACCACAAACAACAACACCACAAACTACAGCACCACAAACTACAACACCATCCACAACAATACCACAGAACTCCAAGTCTACAGACAAAAAATCCGAATCCAATAAAGAGCAAAACAAGGCTTCTGAACTGAATCCAACAACATTTGTAAGTTCCATAGACTCGCAGCAAAAGATTGTCGAAGAACCCGCCAAGTCCTACCAAGAATCACTGCAGTCTACTGAAATGCCTCTAAGCTCGACTGGACAGCCTTTGGACTTTAACGAAACTATACCAAGTGTTGCCGGAAGAAATGACACTATCACTTCCTAAAAGTCTGGTCACTGAGTATAGTTGCCTTTCCCTACCAACAACAAACTAGAAAAATTATTGCAAATGCCTCGTTTTGTCTTTCCAGATGAAAATCAATCCAAAAAAAGAGAGTAGATTTAAGAATTACTAGGAATGTTTCTGAATTAAGATTGGATACATTTAGTGTTTGATATATTAAAGCGATAAGGGTTTCAGCTGAAGAAATACACAGAATCTAGAACCTGTTTAACGTCGAAGTCACCTGAAAATAAATCAATATTCTAATAATTAATTATGACCGCAATGGAAACATTGCACGCATTCACATAGACAGGACTAGCGGGGAAAACAAAGATAACATTTATCGATAGTTTTGCGCTTAACTTTCTTGCGTGCAGATTGCAATGCTTATAACGTGTATTGTCAATGAAAAGATTGGGATCATGATGGTGCAATCACAAGATGCATAAGAGGGGGATCACACTAAACGTCACCCAGTTGGCTCACTTGGTTGAACAGCGGACTTCCTTTGGGAGATCTGGGTTCGAACTGCAAATGGTTAGACCTTCACGTAGCTCGGATGGCCACGTAAAATGGCGGTCCGGTCTCTCCACAATATATAAACTTGCATCAGAGTGACGTAAATAAACCACTGAGGACGTAAAGCCGAAACCCTGGCAATGACCTCCCTCAGTAGGAAAAAAAATACTGTCCCGCTTACCTATCTCAGGTAGACCATCAAAAGAAGCTTGTTTCACAGGCTGATATTCATCTCTTTTTAGTTTTAAAGGACGTGAAAAACTGCATGATAGAAGAGAAGAACAAAATGACCTTATTGGTTAGGTTTTAAATTCTACCCAGAAATGAGGCTCTTCTGCACCAGGAGCGTAGCATGTTTTTAGCGACAACTACATGGCGCTAGGCCTTTAATGTTTTTTTTAACTTACACCAGTCCGCCATAATTACGTYCAAAGTGCTTTTGTAAATCCTCAAGGATTGGTTGGGAATGTAAAGCCACAAATTGGTCTCGACAAATCTTGAAAATAAAAAAATAAAAAAGACGACATATTTCAGTTATTGCATAAGTATATTAGCATTTCCCACAAAATGCCTACCCTACATGATAAGTATTGGAAGCATGTATTATACCTTGTTCATAACATCGATACTTGCAGCATGAGTCCAGAAACTGTCATGTACTGATGTAAAAGTTATGCCTGCTCTTTGGGAGTATAGAGCACTCAGCATCATGTGCGTGGAGTCAAGAGAATGAACAAAGTTAGGAGGAAAAGCTCCTCGTTGCTTTCTTGAGTCAGGTGGTGACGTAGCGAATCCTTTGGCAGGTATCTCGATCCCTTGAAGCTTGGTCCGGATGACTTTGACTGTGCGCTTACAATATGGCTGACAGACATACAAGGACAGGGGCGTATACCAATCAACCATGTGACCTGTATATGCTACGTGAGTGGCAGCTAGGGCGAGCCAATCCTGTCAATGGTCAACAATAACAATGTTAGGCCTAGGGCAAACGTCGAACTTTCCATGAACCGAATTTAATTACATCAAAGAATGCCGCATCATTATCACCTGATATCCAATGTTTTTAATGAGTTCGGTGCATGAAAAGTTCGACGTTTGCCCTAGGCCTAAGACTATTTATGCAAGAATTAAAAGTAAAGAGACATGCTTACCTGTATGGCTTTCGCTCTCGTAAATAACTGCCCAATACTCGCAAAAACTTTGCCAACAAGATATGCGGATGATTCAAACAGTAATCGCTCATCAAGGTCAAGGTCTTTTAATTGGCGTTCAATCTGTAGTCGACCACCAACGAAAGTAACTCCGTACACAATGGTCATGACAGTTTGTTTGATGACCTTACGATTAACTTTACCATCAAGTTGCAGGGCTATCTTGTGACCTGCGCAGTGAAATATTATGTAAAGTGTTCAGTTCTCACGTAGTACTTGAGATAGGCTAGTTATGCTATTAGTAGATGAATCGTTTGCTAACCTTTTTTAGCATCGTCGAGTCTTGCCACTTCTACTAATTTGGCTACTTCTTCATACACATCTTGGGGTCGATCGGAAGGCACTAAATTAACTTGTTTGGCACCATATTGGTCATGACCTAAAGCAGCATAATGCTGCAGCCCATTACAAGACCCATCTTGGTGCACAGGGTGATGGGATATGTATTTGGTATGATCCGGAGAACGAACAGCATTGGCTATCTCTATACATGTTGCTAAGGTTTGCCAGGGTTCATCAGCAGACATCCACCATCGGCGACCCTGGTACAAATAATAATATTAATGATGATAATGATAATGATAATCGTCATCATCATCGTTGGTCATCATCATCATCGTCATCATCATCAATAGCAATGGCAATAGCATATGATGCTAATTCTACTCACACTCAGAGGGTTATCGGCAGAGTCTAATATTTCGTCCATCATATCATCACTGTACTGTGCACGCTCGGCCAGCGAAGCCTTCTTTTTTGCACCATGCAAATTAGTTAGGTGAATCTTCAGCCAGTGTAACCCGTCTTTACCCAGAGGTACTCCTTTAGCAAACTGTAGCATACCACGATTAAGATCATCCCCTAAAAAAGAACGAGGAATAGAAGTTAGCCCTACCCCTTCCCTTTGGGGTTAACTAGGATCAACAAACTTACCCACATGACAACAGTGAGGAGGAATGGGATAGACTCGACCACGGAAATCCATATTAAGAGGTAACCAAAACATGTGATTCCTGAAGTGATGAGCAACTGACAGCTTGTATAGTGATGACATCCGAAGACTGTATTGCTCGCGGGCCAGCTTGCGTGCCCTTCGACGTTCTTGCAAGAGTTTCATTTGTTCTTCTGGTGAAAGTGTTGTTCTGTTAAAACCGGATACATCTGTGTTAGATTTATAATGACGACTAAAAGAGTTGAAGATAATGGCTTACCTGTCATGTGACTCTACTGTGTCTAGTTGAATAACAAGTCCTGGGACAGCAAGATCATCATTACCACCATCATTGAACACATGGATAGCCAAATCTAGAATGCGATCATTGGTTCTCCATGCACATGCACCAAGGTAGTTTAATGCATCAAATACCGCACATAGCTGCTTCCTATCACACTTTTCCTCTAATAAACGATCTTGTTTACCATCATCTTCCTGGTTAGTACGCATGAATTGAACTGTTGAATAATGATTCTATCAGTTAATGATGTCATAATAAAAACTGGGTAGCTGGTATATTATATCATAATAAATTACCGGGTTGTATAAGGAAAGCACCATCTCTGACATCCCTCCAAGGTCTTGGTGGAACTAACATTGGTACAGATGTGGTTGGCATGACAATACTTCCATGGTCAGCTAGATAACCCTTAAATAACTTACAAACCACCTGATGTGGTTTTATCACGCCAATTTTCCGTCTTTCTCTGAACTCATAAGTATGATAAAAAGCAGAGAGTAAAGACTCTGGTTTGTTGTTAAATAAATTAACGTTGATGGTGACTGATTGGAGAAGGAAGTCTATCAGAGTACATCCACACTGAAATATTAAACACATTATATTAAATATGTATCTATGCATACTATATCCTTAATATGTATCCATGCATACTATATCCTTAATATGTATCCATGCATACTATATCCTTAATATGTATCCATGC